GAAATGAATTCCAAATTTTGTCTAAGTGTTTTATCCGTTGCAGGTACCTTACTTGGCACTCAAGTTTCTTCCAATTGGATCAATGGAAATGGGAAAAGAAAGTCTTGTTTTGAAGCTGGTGAGTTTCTCTACAAAATAGAGTATTATGGAGCTCAAGAACAAGGCAGGAGGGTCATGGTTAAAGCGTCTCAAAATGCTATGTCAAAACTGGAATTCTGCCAAAATTTGGCTAAGTGTCATAACCAGTTTGAGAACCCTACTTTGGAGGAGTATTCGAAGCACATGGGGGAGAGTCGAGGCTGGATCTTTGTGCAGCATGAAAGTAGGTTTCTTCTACTACAACGACATGGATTGGATGAATGGAATGAAGAAAGGAAGGCCTCGAATGAAAGCTCCAAAGATCGTATCGAAGCTGAGTTTCTGTCTTTGGAAACAAGGCAATCTGAATCCTTATCGGATTAGGATTCCTTTGTTGTTTTGTGTTTAATTCCTTTTCATTGTTGGTTTTGGTTCCCTTTTCCAATTGTAATTTGTTTAGGACTTCTCTAAGAGTAGTAGGATTGGCTAGGTCTATTTAAGTAGCTTTGATTCATTGTAATTTTCAGATTTCATAGAATTGAACACAAACTTGAGTTTGGTATACAAAGCTTGTTGCTTTCATGAGTTTGAGAGTTGTTTAGAAGGAGTTCTAAGCAGCTTGAGCGCTTGTATCGTTCAGCTAATCACGCTGTTCGTGGATGAGCTTCTACCTATAGTTTACGAGCCTTTTTCCCTTCGTGAGAATTGCACGAAACTTCCACCAACACACATTCAAATCATACCCTGTTTGTGGAGTTCTTGCTCGATGAAACTCTTGGATTCCTTAGCTGTGCTATTTTGATCAATAAACCTCATCTAGGGGTTCATCAGAACCCTAGGTCCTAATTATCTAAATCATAAAGTATAAACCCTAAGATGGTGCATTGATTTTTTTGCCTATATTTGGACGAATCATAACCGTCGATTATTGTTTCTAATTAAATTGATCTTGGGGTATAAGATTTGGAGAATTAAGACCTAGATTTTGATCTTTTAGGGTTAGAGTATAATATCATGTCCGAAAGATCAGTCAATTCAAGTTCTGGATAGCGTTTTCTTACTCAAGTTATGTGGTACCCCGGATTTTACCCTGGGTACTGTAGAACTCCCCATATATATATATATATATATGGTTCAGACTACTGTATGTCAGGCGCATGCTTACCTTATCGTACGACCATCAAGTTTTGTTATTTAAGCCCTGAATTAACTAGAGTTTGGGGCATGATACTACACCCAAATCTCTAATGGGTGAACCTTAGTCCCCAATTCTCCAACCATCATAAGATTTATTTAATCTTAAAATGAAATTAACAATTCTGATTCATCGAAACTATCAAAATACAAATAATAGGCAGGAACGAAGGCGTATATCGTCCTTCTTTACTAGATCTAGCGAAAGCAATAATTTTTGTCTGAGTCGGTGCTAGGGTTTCAAAATGAAGATGAGAAAATTGCAATCATTGCATGCGGTGTGCCCATTTCTCGGTTCATTTCTAGGAAATATGTTTTCGCTTCTAAAAATTTGTCCAAGGAAAGAGTGAGAGAGAGGGGGAAATCTGTGTTCGTGTTTAACTCACTATGTTCTTAAGAAAAACAAGAACACAAGATCAAAGATCAAAACGATCATTGCTCGGTTCACACCTCTCCAAATAATGTTCTAACGAGGGTATTCGATGAACAACGAGGAAACAAGGAAGATCGAAATTACGTTACCTCTACTCCTATGGAGGTTCCTCTGGAGAGCTTTGCAACCACGACTATGTCTACGATCTACTACGAATCTGCAAAGGAGATCTTTGACTGAGAAGTTTTACGAGACTAGAGAGAAAAGAGATAAATTTTGTGATGCTGTTTGTGATTTGATTTTGTCGTCCCGAGCTTCTCTCTCCTTTTGATGTTTATACCCCCAATCTTCCTTCCATCGTAGTCGCAATAACCGCTTCGCTCCGTCTTTGTCTCCCACATTCTCCATCTCTCACAACCATACAGGTAAACTTCCACGTTGTTTCTTGATACTTACGTGCCCCTGAAACCGCTCAGCTATGAAATCTTGGCAAAATGAGATGAGAAGAATCATGTACCTTCCCACCACGGTTCGATGTTCCCAACAACCTTGTCCACCAAATAAACAACGATGTCGCACCACTTCCCCAACTCGAGCATGCGAGCCTCCAATTTCTTTGTCATCATTGTGGCAAACAAACCCCCCTTGTTGCTGCCTTGGGTCTCCACATCGTTGGACTAGGCCCGCTCAAACTATCAAGGGCAAACATGCACCTTTCGGGCGTGGCCAAGTTTCTTCTCAATTTAGAACAATATCGTTCCATGATATTCACAACATAGTTGGCCTCGTTGGGTCATGAACTTCCAATCCATTGTTCTCTACTAACAAAGTTGTTTGAGTTCCGCGGCGGTGTTGCTGTCTTCATGACCCTGCTCGTAGAGCTCGGAAAAAATTCGATTTCCGCAATCATGTTTCCACAAGTCCATCCTCTCTCATCAATTTCATCAAACTCGCAACATTGCTTTTGACTAAACAACGTCGCTTTTCTACTCCGCGATATTGTTAAATCCTTGCAACATTGTTTGACTAAACAATGTCGTTTCAAGTACCACGGCGTTGTTGGGTTCACGACATCGCTCACCTCGCGACGCCGTTGAGCTTGCAACCTCGGCCTCGCTGACCTCACAACCCCAATTTGACAAACGACACAGTTTTGCTAGACGGCATTAAGCAATATCACATTTTAAACCACGACGTTGCTCTCAACTAAACAACATCGTTTTCTAGTATCGCAAGGTTGTTTTTACCTTGCAAGATTGCGAGGGTTTAAAGCAACGGTTGCCCACCATGCCTTGGTCGACGGATCTGGTCAAGCAAATCCCGTCCACGACATTGTTTTATATTAAACAATATCGTTTTCTAATCTGTGGTGTTGTTGGGCTTACTCGAGCTTAACAACGCTGTTTTATCTCACCCCTTGCTTGTCTCCCAACGACATCATATTTTTATCATACGACATCGAATTAAATATCGAGACTCATTAATACATTTAATTTAGTCCAAATTAATTTTAGGTGTCAACAGTTCGCTTATGGGTTCTATGAAAATTTGAGTTCATTTGTGGGGAAATCATTCCGAGGAGAGTGTGAGAGAGGGGAAAGATGTATTCGTTTTTTTATTCTGAGAAACAAAGAATACAATATTCAATTTCTGGATTATGGAGGAAGAAACGAAGAAGACGAAAAAAGAAACAGTCAAATCACTCAAAGATCCCTAGAAAAGAATTTCCATCCAAAAACGACCCCAATATATATTTCGGAAACAATATTAGGCTATGCTGGAGGACATGTAAAGATTTGATCACGCATAACAGATATTATGCATGCGGTCGATTATTGATCAAAGCATATATATGAACTAAGGTAGGTAGCTAGATTGGCAGGCAGGCAACAAGTAAAGGAACTAGGTTAGGTAGTAACGGTAACATCTAGAGAGAGCTGGTTTGGCTATATATGAATCAAGATTCAAACAAACCGTGGGTGACCAATATATGGTCTCTACTTTACTTTATAGTCTATCATCAGCTGGCTATTTTCCAACAAACAATTAATATTCGGATCCACCGCCTAGGTAACCTGACCTTTTATGTATATTATAGCATTTGCTGTGATATGGGCAGCAAGATTTGCCGCCGTGAAAAACAATGTCCAAAAGCCCTCTTGTTTCCAACTTAGCTAGCTAAGATTGATTCTTTCATGCAATGATGAAGACTAGCTACGCGTGTTGTCAGGACGAGTAAACCCTATGAGAGCGGGTGGAACATAAATACAAATCATGCATGCAGGTTTAAATTTAATAAATAAATTATTACCAGCTGAATACCAAATCAAACACATAAAATATTGGGTATGAACCAAACGCATTGTTTCAATAAGTTCTTGTCAATAACCACGATCGCTCTGAATATTAAACGCGTCGCTAATGCAATACAAGAAGTAAATTATATATGTCCCTCCTAATTCATGATCATGTGCGGGGGCAGGGAGAGAAGAGATCCCAATATTTGTCAACAGTCAAAACTACTTTGGGATGTGTCAGCCTCTCTGACAATCGTTAAAGCAAACAACTTCTCCTTAGCTTCCTCCATGCAGGCAGGCAGGCAGGCAATTGCCACCTCCTACTGCCCATGATTATAAGCAAAAGTCTTCCTTCCTGCACAATCTCCTTTTGACTATTCGATTCAATGGCTCTTCAAGGGAGAAATAAAAGCAAGGAAGCTGGGAAGAAAAGTTCATCCCCATCTAAATAACTTGCTCTCCAACTTCTCCTCCAAGAAACATGTAACTTTACCTCACACATTACATTACATAGGAAGCCAATAATGTTGTAGAAGTCGTGTCCACAAAAAAGAACATTATTGTAGAGCCACAATTACATATATATAATCTGCATGCAAAAAGCGAACTAAGCTAGCTAGCTCCATCCGTCGATGGCTAGCTTGCTTTTAAACGTACACCAATTTGTAAAATATGGTGGACCAGATATTATCATGCATATATATACGAGAAGAAAAGCACACATAAATCATAAATATATGATGAATTCCCAATATTAATATTGACTATTACTGGTGCATGTGTAATTGAGTAGGGAGCCATTAACAACACAACAATATATATAATTACTAGCTGCACCCAATTACACCAGCACCACTTCACCAATAAAACTCCACCATAATAATAATCTATATAACTCTACCTTATTGCGCTTTGCATGTCCTCCATATATATATAATAACATCATCACTAACCACACCACACCCTTAAGGAAATACATCATTGCTCTCCTTTAGTGCAACATCAATTAATACATCATAGCTCCTAATTAAGCAGCATTAATTCATTGCAATTCATAGATATCAGACACATCTTAATTAATATACAAATCCTTAATTAACACCACCACAGGGAGCTTGCAAACGTGGATTAGGGCAGTGTGAAGTTAATGTTCCTCTTCAACGTGTTTGGATGGGAAAAGCAATACTGGTTTCTTGCTGGCTAGGTATTAGCTAGTTCAGGTTATTAGAAGCGCGTTCTCCTAATTAATGCTCGACAAAATACAATTGGGGTCACCTCATGATACAATGATTAACACGAAAACTTCCATTAACAACATAATGTTTGAAGTGAACTAGCTAGCTGATCAGCTAATAAGGAATAACCCTACTGCCTCCCTCCCTCCATCTAACCCTGAATCCAACTACGAAAACTAACACCAACCAACCAACGATCGATCGAAAAGCTTTAATTAAGTTACCTCTTTCTTTCCTTGGATCCAATTAATTAAGCTAAGGTTGTTGTTGATCTCTAGTGAGTTTGTTGAGAAGCGCGGTGATCAAGGCATCCCTGTTGTCTGCGCGAGCTTCCTCCCTGGCCCTCCTCTGCTCCTCCCTCTCCCTCCAGCGGCGCTCCATCATCAGCCGCTCCTTCTCCAGGGCCTCCATCGTCCGCCGCCACTCCGCCTCCTTGGCCGCCCTCTCATTCTCCCTCGCCTCGTACGCTTCCCTCCACTGCATCTCCATCGCCATCTGCTGCCTCATGAACCCTTCCATCACCTCCTTCATCGCCGCCGCCACCTCGCCACCAACTCCGCCATTACCACTAGTACTGCTACTGCCCTTCCCTTTCTTCATCCTCTTCCTGCTCGTATTCACCGCAGCAGTAGCAGCCATCAGCTTGTCCCCTTCTAACTCCTCCGCCTCCTCGTAGTCCTCGTCGGACGACAGCTGCCCTCCTCCTCCACCGGCAGCCTTATTCTTCTTCCCGCCGGCGCTGGCGGAGGCGGTTCCCTCGGCTTCGGCCCAAAGCATCCGTTGCATCCTGGCCGCGAATATGGATTGGAGCTCGGTGTAGAAGGGGAACTGCTGCCTCATCGCTTCCGGCTCCATCGTCTCGCATCCCTTTTTTTTCATATATATATAATTATTATTATTACTTGCTTTTTATTTAATTTACAGCTAGCATCGATTAATAATAATGAAGAAGGACAGGAGAGATTGAATGAATTAATGGGTACTACGTACCTTGTATCGAGTGACGAGGTTCTTCCACTTGCACTTGCACTGTTCGGCGCTGCGGTGGAAGCCTTTCTCCTTCATCTTGGTGGAGATGACTTCCCACAGGAGCTTGTTCCGCTTCGTCTCCATGAAGGTGCGATCCAGCTCCGCTCGGATCACAAGGAACTCTTTCGTCTCTTGGATGCTCCATTGGGGGAACCTGCTGTCCGCCGTCTCGCCCACCGCCGGCGGCTGAGGCTGAGGTTGGGGATGGAATGGATTATTGTGAAGATATTGCTGCTGCTGGTGGTGATGGTGGTGGCCGTGGCCGTCCATCGATTCGATTGATTAAGTAGTATGGACACGCAATCTAATCAAAAGGGGGGGTGAGATTCTGGAATAATAATAATAATAATGACTTTAATTTTGAGGGCCGGGAAAATTCAAAGTGTACGCGGAGGAACAAGGAAAAGGAAAAGGAAAAGAGAGGGTTGGGAGACGAATAAGATTGATGATGACGATCAAAGGGTCGGGAAAAGATGGAGAGAGAGAGGAGGCCAAATATTTATAACACTCTTCTCTCTGTGCGTTTGCTGGAAATGGAACGGACGATTTTGATGAGTTGTGTGTGTGAATGGGAAGGCCTGGGGGTGGGGTCCCAAATGGGAAACGCCCAAAAGGAAAAAAAAGAGTGTGAATGGATCGTCATATGTGTAAAACAAGCCATTAACAATTATTATTTTGTAACAGTTTATTTGGGTGGCGGTTTGATTAATAATAATAAATCCAGCCGACGAATTGATGAAAGAAGAAAATTTGAGATTTTTCTGTTTATTGCCCTTAATAACGACAGTAATTAAATAAACAAGATGTCGCTTCACGTGTGTGTTGTGTTTGTGTCAAAAGCCAAAAGTCAATCGAAGTTTTAAGGAAGATCGAGAAAGTTAAATCCATTGTCTCCTTTCTTTTTTTATTTATCATAAAAGTTAATCCATTTTCTAACTGTGTCATTGATTAAATTTTAATTAGTAATAGCCGATGAAATCTGGAGTCGGCTCAACTTAATTCTACTTAATTCTACGCATACGTAGGGATGGCAATGGGTTGGGTTGGGTCGGGTTTTGCCAAACCCAAACCCATGGGTTTATCCGTGAAAAAAACCTGGGGTAAAACTCACTGGATTTGAAAAACTCAAACCCAACCCGTTGGGTATCCGCGGGTTCATGGGTACCCACGGGTTTTTGTCGTAAAAAATTTACAATAACAAGTTCCTATTAAAATTAAAGTCAAATATTAATCTCTCAATACACAATATCTATATATAAAACACCATTCTAGAAAATTCAAGCAAATCACAAATTAACTATACAAATTGTTCAACACCAATCTAGAAAACTCAAGAAAATTGAAGCAAATCACAAATTATCCATAAATAATATGATTAATTGAAAGCTTCTTCCTTTCAATTAAGTTTCTTCACTCTCCACTCGATAACATCAACTTCATTCTAAACAATTAGAAAGAAAAAATTAGACATGTCTCCACAAATATAAATAAGATTAGTTGTTTAGAATATTTGAATATATCGAGAAAATTAATTATATAGGTGTGGGTGGGTACCCATGGGTCGGGTTTACCTAAACCCAAACCCAACCCGGTGAATGGTGAACTAGTTTAAACCCAAACCCGGCTCAAAACCCGTCAACACGGATTTTACCCACGTTGACCGGGTTGGGTCGCCACCCGTGAATTCAGGTTTTGTTTCCATCCCTACGCATACGCCTCAAGTTATGAATGAATTCTTGTATTCAAGTTATGAGACTACATTCCCTTCACTTATGAAAAAAAAAAAAACTACATCCCCTTCAATATATCAAATCAAGTAGTTATCTCATCAAATTATTAGCTATTAGGCTATATAGCTTCATTCTTAGGTAAATTGTAGTTGAAAAGCATTAGTTTATTTGTGTGCATATAATATTGATGGGAGTTAAATTTGATAAGAATATAGTATATCAAGGGCACTAAAAAAAGGAGCTATACCAAGAGTTTTATTGGCCTGTATTAAGGGTTTTAACCCTTGCTATAAATTGTAGCAGGGGTTTGTACAACCTCTGGATCAACCCTCACCTATGTTGTCCCTGCTATGGATAACAAGGGTTTTGAGAAACCCACGGTGGAAGTACCATCCAAGGGTTTTAGCAGGGGTTAAAATCGCAGCTACTCATACTAAGGGGGTAGAACCCCTACTATATGACAGTTTAAAATCCAACAAGGAAATGTTCCTATCAAGGGGTTCTAATCCCTGCTACATGCGTTATTAAATTAGTAACGGTCATAACCCTTGCTAGTGAATGTTATAGCTTCATTTGAATTACATTTATTCCAAGGGTTTAAACCCCTGCTTAATTGGTGGATAATATAAAAATATTGCGTTGTAAAATTAGTAGCGGTCAAAACCCTTGCTAGTGAATGCCGAGCTTGGAGTCGGACTCAAAAGCAGAAGACCGGCGGCAGACTCAGGGGATTTTTTCTATCGTGAAAGAATGGGGAGAGAGTTGCACTATAGCAGGGGTTCCAAAACCCTTGGAATAAACCGGCAGTATAATGAGTTTCTAAAATATTACTAGGGGTTTAACAAACCCCGCTACATAACCCTTGGTATAGCTCCCTTTTTTTTTTTTATAGTGTAGGACCTCACTCCTTTCCACCGCCCCATCACCAGGAACCAATTCTATATGAAATCCAATGGGGATGTCTTAATATGAATATTAATTCACACAAGATTAGTTAGGTTGGTCGGGATGCAAAATTGTGGAAGTTAATTACAGTGAGTTGCTTGATTTGAAATTTGTCGGTGCGCTACTTGTTCAAATACTTGTTCTTCGATATTTAATTAAGAGTCATTGTATGAGGTGTTGAGCGCTTTAGAATCGTTGAATGAATGAGTTGATAATTTTGAAAATAATAAATTATCATATCCATTCAAACTAGCTAGCACCAAAATTTGATAGCTCAAAATTTTCAAGTATTTTTTCAATGGGTAAAAAAAAAAAAGAAATTATGAGCACAATAGCCTCATTGACAAAATGAAGACCAGCTCCCCCCTCTCGGCTCTCTCTTTCTTTTTTAACGTTATACTTGTCTTCATTTTCCTCTTTCTCCGATACAGTGATTGAGTCCCTTTGGCTTGCCTTGCCTTGCTTTGGTTGCCTTGCTCATCCTCCATTCCATTCCATCAGTAGTCTAGTCTGAAGTCTCTATCTGTCTACGCGGAAACTCCCATCTTTGTTTGTCAACATTTTTCAATTCCCCCAACCCCACCATTTGTTCATATTGCGAGCGGATGTCGTCAGCCTTACGGATAATCATCTCATATCATTCCTCGTTTTTAGTGGGCCTCCCTCCCAATTAATTCGTCATTATTCTCTGTAACCAGCTGCTACACAGACAGGAGGAGCCTTGAACCACAAGTTACGTACATATTCTCACTCCTACGCGACAAAATCTTTTTCTACCCTTCTAAATATAATATAATATAAAATATTACGCACAATAGTTAGTTACGTAGTTTTTATACAATTAATGTTTTGGAATTTCTGATTTTAGCAGTTTCCCCGTTAATTAATTTCAACATTAATTATAAACAGCTAGCTGCTTATGCCTTATGCCTATGCGTACACGACATATATGTTTCATTTTGTTTTCTTCCTTACGTTATTTAATTCCAAGTTTCTAATCAATATTCCAAAAGCGAAGCGCAAGCTTTAGAATGATAATTAAATAAATACTCCGCACTACTAAGTGACGGAGATTAACTGTCAATTCTTTTTGTTATTAATAACCGTCAACTGTTTGGCTGTTGATTAATTTTAATTAGCCTAGCCGAGTACGGAAGGTGGCACAGTACTAGGTAACGTACTACCATTCCTTTCCTTGCCCCGGGGAAAATGAAAAGCCAAAGTGAGGGAGGGAGGACGGGAGACTCATAACCTACTTCATTAGTAAACAACGCCAGATTCATTGACGTTCGAATGCATGGCTAGCTGTTTTTATATAATAATAATATGGTTAGAGCCTGGGCCAGCCACTACTTTCAGACTTGGTTGGCTAGCTAGCTTCACACACCACAAGAAGTGATTAGCTAGCTTGCTATGCTAGGGACAAGAGAGTTCCCTTCACGTTAGAATGCATCGTCTTCCTGATCTCGTTTTTGTACAAAAGGAAATAACAATTCAATGAACTCTCAAAGAAATAGCAAAAAAATAAAATAAAATGATAAGATAAATATTTGGGTTCTAAATTTCCTTCCATTAACGAGTATATATTTATAGGTTATGAAATCTTAATAATCGATCTCCTTTTCCTCATAGGTCAACGACCCCTTTATCCCTTTTCCGACCAAAAACATGAAATTCTTTCTCACAAAGAAGCTATATACAAATTCTTAACAATTACTGTAATAAATCTTAATCCTACTAAAACAATGAGAATGCAAATATTCTTTCCTCGCGCGTATGCCCCCCGTCGTGCGCGCGTTACTTGGAGTTACGCACGACGCTGTTACTTTCTCCTTCCTCGTGGATATGCCCCCCAGCGTGCGCGTTACGTCGAGGTTGATGCGCGCTGCTTTTAAGTTGGTTTTGGGTTGTTGGTTTTTTTCTTCCTCGAGGGTGCGTCATGTCCCCATTGTGCGCGTTACGTTGAGGTTGATATGCGCTACTTTTAAGTTGGTCTTGGGGTGTTTTTTCTTCCTCGCGGGTGCGTCCTGCCCCCGAGGCGGTGCGCGGCACTTGTGGCGTCATCGACTAGTGCCTATGATGGTAGGTGTCCACGTGTCCATGCATGATTGGGCTACTTGGGCGGGGATTTTTTGAAATTCGAAAAGATTTGGTAGGATTTGACGGTTACGGATCCCTATGTGGCTTTAACTCTTCGTTTTCCCCTGGCCAACTATAAATATGGGCTGGTTGTGTGGGAGTGGGACTCATCGTCTCTTTCATATCTATTCCTGTTCTTTCGTTCTATTTCTTCGTTCATCCCTTCTCTGAGATTTCTCTCCTTCTTCTACAACCTCGATTCTCCGTTTGCTGTTGCTAAAACTCGAGTTATCAACATGGCTAGCATCAACATCGACGAGACTGAGGTCGTGCAATGCGAAGAAGGTAATCTCTCCCCTCTTTCGCACACTTCTACTGATCCTTCGCTGGAACTGGTCGGTTCCGATGATGTGGGTGACGGCGGTGATGGGGGTGACGGCGGTGACGGTGGGGTTCCGGCGACGCCATTGTTCGACATCGAGTCGGAGGATGACCTCGGCGGTTCTCCCGACGTGGGTATGGTTGCCTCCGGGAGCGGGCAGGCAAGACAAGAAGCTCGTGGGGTGTTGATAATCCGGCGTGGTCGCGATGGGAGGCAGGTGGTTGCCAACTATGAAACGCGCGGGGAGCGCGGGGAGCAATCAGAGGCGCATCACATTGTGCGCGTGTCAGAAGCCATGGCCCGATTAGGGTTACGTGGTGTTGGCGCCGCGTATAATGTTATAGAATGGGCAGAGATGTGGGGCGACCAGCCGGCGCCGCATGACAACCTCAAGCGCGGGCCCGACCATGCCTCTATTTATGATGTT